GTGGGAAATTTTACTGAAATAATACTATGCAGGTTCAGTTAAGGATAAACTAGATCACCAAAATTAAGCGAAGCGTCTCGTGACGATTCAGTCACTGCAGCATTCGTTCATTCAACTGTTATTATCCTTCGAGTCACAATCCTGCGATGATATCAGATCTCCGAAATTCTCGAATTTGTAGACCTCGATATTCAGCACAATTCGCCTTTTTACACGGCATAAACTGATGCCAGATCGAGAAAAGAAATACATAAAAACTGTTGTTAAATAGCTGGGAACATGACAATCCATCCAGCACCAGCCAAGCAGAGAGGGTGAGCAAGTTCCGACAAAATAGATCTGGGACGAGGCGAGCAGGGGTGAGGCAATTTTACGAACTGACGATGAAGGATGCGCTTATCACGAAATTACCAATGATATTATCAGATCGTCGCTGTCCTTTAAAAACAAGTAGCGAGTTTCCGGCGTCTGTCTTTCCGGTCAGCACTGTTGCACGGCTTTGATGAGATCACAGATATGCGCAACAGTTTTTAAAATATCGTCACTGGTACCATAGAACACCGTAATGACTGATATTTTCCTCACCTTCTGTATCCTCGCGCGCATCTCCGGAAGTAGCCAAGACAAGAATTTAATTTATGAAAAATCTGAGGTGTTAAATAAAAACCCAGGCTGGAACGCACTAGGCCTGCCGGTGCGATCATGCGTTTTTGCACTAAACTCGTTGGTCGCTAACAGCAGAAATGATCCCTGCGCTGTATCCTAACAGTTGGACTCATACTGGCCGTGCTTTGGCCCTTTCCGGCAAGCAGGAGGAAGGGTGTCGGATGGGGTGAATGTGGTGCATTATAGAGTCACACGGACCTCCAGGTACGTGATTACCAGTTTTTAGCGTGAAGTCCGGTCGTTTTTTCGGTAAATGCTCGCTTTATGAGAAAATGAAAGATGTAAATTTTTTGAAAAAAATGCAAATTTCCAGTTCACTAAAAATTTGAACTATTGCTCGAGCGGTCGTTTGTCAAAAA